TAAGAAGACCTTTCAGAAGAAATTCTGATGTTTGGTTAGATTCTTGGAAGTAGATGCCTGAAAGTTCTTGCCTAAATCCTTTTTTGTTTGTTTGTTTGTTTTTATAAAAAAAAAAATAACAAACAAAAAAAATTATTATGTTCACCCTGTACAAGGCCAAAGAGCCACTCGAAGTAGAGAGTTACAGAGTAAGAGGCACAGTTTATTGGGATATGTGGGAAACATAATGGTTGACTCTAGACTTGAACAGGTTAAAATTGTAGTGATTGAGGAAGCATCCTCTTAGGAGTCAGTTCCCCAAAGCAGTGGTTTGTGGGAAGAAGCTTCTCAGGTGGAACTTACATCTCACCAATGGAATACAAAGGGAATCAGGGGTGCTTTGCTCAAATGGGAATTTTTGCGTGGGTCAAATCAAGCCAAATGAACAGAATTTCTTTTGGAAAGGTGTTTTGGTTGGGCCAAGAAATTTTTCAGCACACATATGGTAAAGATATAGTTTTAAGATATGGTATATTTATGGATAAAAGTGAACATGGTCCGAGATAGTGCATATATAAATATAAAAGTGGACACTGAGGTCAATACCAAACAGTGACAGTGTGTTTCATGCTCAAATGCAATCTTTAGAGCTAAAAATATCCTTGATAATGGTTAATATGGTGGTTCTCTACAAAAATAAATAAATAAATATAGCAATACTGTAGTATTTTAGTTGTCCATAGAGCAATTTCACTTTGGAATAGTTGTTACAACTGAATATTGGAACTTCTACGTCTATGACAGTAAAATAGTATAAATAGAACAAACAACTCTTAGTAGAAAATAAGATCAACTGATATATGTTAGCTTCCCTTTTACACTATTTTTGATTGTAAAAGTCAAATAAAAACTGAGAATGATATATAAAGGAAAATTACATATTAGATTATAATCTATTATACAATTTAATATATTAACAAATAATAATTTTAATATTAATGAAATAAAATGAAATTATCAAATATAAATATAAAATATTAAAAGAAAAATAATATATAAATTATAAAGATTATATATAAAGAAAGCATATATATTTACTATTTCTATAATACAATTACTAAACCTATCTATTATTAAAAATAAAAGGTTTTGTTTTTTGTTGAATGGTTATGGGTGTTCACCATTTAGGAGTAAAACTGGTTCATGGGTAAAAAAAAAAAAGGTTTGAGAACCACTGGGCTAATAGATTAGCCGGAAGTGCTCGGATGCATAAAACATTTGAACTGATTTTACACACTTTATATCCAGAAAAGAAAATACTTGTAAGAATGCAAGAAAAAAATTTAATAAAAAGAAAAGCTTAATCACAGCACCTTACCAATCATCTTCAATGAAATGAGTGTGTGTATGTGCACACACATTATATACATTTTACATATCTTAAAAGAGAAAGTAATTTAATGTTAAATAGTATTAAAAGAGCACTAGTTTTTCATGGTAAATTGACATCCAGGATCATCCGACATATTTGCTTTCCTGTTATTACAATATGGCATATTTAAAATAACAACAAATTGAGGTCAGCTAGGTTAGACATCTAAATACATTGGTTGCCAAAGTTAAATGTCTCCTGCATTTTTAGTATTTCATGATATAAAAATTGTAATTGGTATTTATTGTATTTTGTCCTCTACCTACATGCATAAAAATTCCAGTGATAAAATAGTTTATTAGTTTGAAGAAGTCCTTTTGAAGGATGAAAATTAATATAGGAGTTAATAGTAGATAGGTTTGCCTATTGCCCGGTTCACACTCCTTCCTGGTTTAAGATTGTGTTTCTAAAATCTTTTCATTCTCTTTTACTCCCAGTAACCCTTTACATCTTAGTAATGTTATCACCTTGCTTCAAGTGAAATGATTACAAAAACATTTTTTTGTCATTCCACTATTATTCTGATAGCATTGTATAACATTTTCCATATATGCATGTATATATGTATTTTTTATGCAGTTATTTTTCCATTACATATTTTTTAACATCACATATGTAGTAAAAACATGAATAAATCCTATAAATATAGCATACCTTAAAACTATATCATTATATATATGATAAAATATAGTTTTAAAGTATGCTATATTTATGGCCTAAAGTGCTCAGTATCAGCGAGAGAGAGAGAGACTATATATATATATATATATATATATATATATATATATATATGAGAGAGAGCAAGAGACATGTTTTACAATACATAAAAGAATCAATGAAAAATGAATCTTAAAAGTTACTTAAAGATAATGAAACTAGGCTCACCTCTCCTGTAGAGTTGCAGATCTCACAGTTAATAATAATAATGTGGAGATAGTAGCGTAGACATCTGTGTTCACTTTGCAAAAATAAATTTGGAAAAGTTAAATCCCATTCTCATATCTATAGGTAAAATAGTAAAGTAGTTGGAGCACTCTAGCCTGGCAAGGCTGTTCAACTTTCACATCAGGCTTTTAAATATTCACTACTAAAAATGCAGTATCAACACTGGTTATGTTGACAGTAATGCATTCTAAAATAATACAAGAATAAACAAAGATTTCCATCTAACTTGTTTCAGTGATGTTTAGTGAAATTACGAGACAGCAACAATTATTGTAATAGTCCTAATGACAAACTTTAAATATAAAAATAATTTGCTTATTGTATGACTGGGCCTCCATACATGCTGAATTCATTTTATTAACAAAAGATTCTATTAAATTTATATTGAATAATGATTATGAGCAAATTCTTTTATTTCTTGATTGTTAAATTTAAATCAGTTTAACAAATGAAAACAACAGGTTGCCAGACAAAGCAATATTTTATTTTACAGTTTTAAAATTTTTAATTTAGGGTATTGCTGTAGTTTCAACCCCAGTGAGAGATGACAAAAACTGATTTTAATTTTCTAGGGTGTTATTGTTTAAAGCAATGTGAAATGTAAAACTTATTCATGATCACATGGTATTTTACTGAGATTTTATAGGGCAGAAGGGAGATTCATGTTAAAAAAAATATTTCTGTTTATTTTCTTTAACACAAAGAAAACCTTTAATAAATGCATTTATTGATACAAAAGGTACAAGAAGTTATATTAAATTTCAATAATTAGCTGAATTTCTGAAGATTACAAAACCCTTTAAAAATTCAATGTTGGGAGTGGAACACATCAAGTATTCAAATTTTATTATAATTAATGGAAAATTATTAAATCTAATAATTATTACTGAGAATTATTAGTGTTTGCATTTTTTAAGGTTATAAACAAAAATTGTGGAGTTAAATTCTCTTCACCTATGTATAATCCTTTCAAAATGGCTGCCCTTCTGAACACACCCAGAAAGCAAAGAACTGTTATAGATTTTTTGGAAGGAGAAAGTGATGCATGCAGTTACAGGGTACTAGCATACTAAAGAGCTGGATCAGATTACTATCATGTTAATTATAGAGAAACATAGAAACTGATCTTATTAACAGGCTCTGAAGTGGCAGGTTAACTGCTGCTGTGAATGAGGATAAGGACAAACAGGCTAATGCACTCATTGAAAGAATGAGAAAAGGGAAGAGAAAAGAAAGAGCAAAATGAGAAAAGGGAAGAGAAAAGAAAGAAAAGAAAGAAATAATTACTATTGCAAAGCTGAAAGTTTTCAGGAGTGCCATGGTAATATATGCAGTTTAGTGCTGTCTTTTAATGATTCAAAAATTTGTGCAAAGTGAATTCTCATAATGCTGACACCCAATGAAGGAGCAAAGTATGGTTGTTTCCGAAATTTTAGTTCATGAAAGAGGACAACAATTCTTCAATGTTGAAGTGAATTAAGCAACTCACACTTTTCTATAAAAAGAGCCAAGAAGCTTCTATGGGAGGTGAGTATATATGACCTCAACCAAAAGGTGGAATGTAAAGACTGACAAAGGTTATATAAATTAGATTTGAAATTTTGTAATTTGTGTGCTATTTTTAATCTCAAATTTTGATGGTGAGTATTAAAACCTAGAATATTAGATTTTGAAGTGACTATTAAGAGGTTAAATTTGTTCTATTTAAACAAGAATGGGTACCACTTTTTGAAGGACCTTTGTATTTCTATTAATTTTTTTTGTACATAACTTTATAAAATGAAAATTTTCAGATAAATATGTTTCTTTACAAAAGATGTCATTTTCATAATTTTTAAAAAATGAATTATTCTCCTTTTTATTAATATAAACTTAGTGAGAATTAACTTTCATATGGATTTTTGGTCATAGGTAACAACCTTGTAAAGTCCATGAAAATACCTTATAAGTGAGATTTACGAAGCATAGATATGGTACAAGGCCTCAAGTATGGAGCACCTAGTGAGGATCAAACTCATTACTCAGTTGTAATTAATCTAGCAAGTTTGTTAATTACACCATGTTGAAGCACCCATGAAAATACCTTATATATCTGGAGGGAATTTATTACATCTCTAATGACAAATCATGAAATTTAGTTACCTCGTCAATAGTGCTTTTCATACAAGAATTATCTAAATAAGAAATTGCACTGATACTTTTAGTCATTTCAACAGAAATATTGTTTAAATATATTCCCCATTTAGTCAGATTCTTATCCAACTTTACCTATATTGTATATATTCATTACATACAATGCAAAAAGAATTGCTTCCAGACATTTCCTTGCAAAATTTCTCATTGAGATTTCATTTTTATTTCTAATTTGTATGAACTGGTGACTCCTTCAAGATAACAGTCAAAGATCAATCAACATTGCAAAAATTTAATTATATCAATATTTCTTTTAATTTTATTTGAACATTTTTTTATAATTTTTTGCTTTTGGTTTTAACAAATATGAAATGCAAACATCCACTTAATATTTATAAAGCATATGCCAAGGTCATTGAAGAAAAAATTATTTTAAAAAATAAAAATAAAAACAAACAAGTCATGGCTAATAATACTGGATTAATTGGTGCATTTTTTTTTTTTTTTAAGTTTAGTTGTGGTGTTGGTGGTGAAGTTCTTTTGATCTGCAGACTAAAACAGGAACCGGAGAGTGGTGGATAACATAGTCACTGATGCTGCCGACTAAGGTGCGTCTAATAGTGCCCATCCCACGGGTACCAGTGACAATCAGAGTAGCACCCTCTTCTTTGGCCACATTTACAATCACTTCTCCGGGTCGTCCGTTGACACTCTTCACCTTACCTCCAACCTTCAAGAGAAGAAAAGGAAAAATTCTAACACTTTTTTTTTTTTAATTTGGGGGAAAAAAAAAAACAAAAAACAAAAAAACAAAAACACCTTGTTTTGTTTTTTCTCATACAGCAATTTAAAATTTCGTTAATGTCAAAAAAAGAAAAGTACTTCTAGTCAGAAACTAAAATTTTGTATCACTGTCCATTTTGCAAACTCCAGTTCATAGTGTTTAGATGTTAAGGGCATAACAGGAGAGAGCCATGGAAGAAAGATTTATTTTCCCATTTGTATTTCCCCTGTTATGGGCATTATTATATCCAGGATATATTAACACTGATATGGATCAAATGAGATGGCTGAAAGGAAAAGGAATGATAAACATGTTTTGTTCTCAGAGAGACTTTTATATTATTAAAACACACACACACACACACACATATATATATGATGGACTTTCTCGATTTCGACGTATGAGGTTCCGACAACTTTTTAATGACCTTTATGTTTGAATTTAGAGTGACATTTCAGACCCGCTAATGACTTGCAAAGAAAACCACAGATTGGGCAAGCGTGTGAGCAAAGAGGGTGCACTTCTCTGGCACCTTCTGAGGCTTTTTTCCTTTCTCTTGCTTCACAGAGCTTGACAATGCTTGCCGCCGAAAAATTCCCGATTCCAGTGTAAGTTACACTTTTCCAAACTTTGCGATCCAAGGCAGTATTCTCCAAATCAGTGTGTGCAATATTTGCAGCTTCAAGATTACTTTTCAGCTTATCTTTAAACCTGAGCAAGGGTCGGCCAACATTCCGTTGACCACCTTCAAGCTGGCTGTACATAAGAATCTTTGGAATTCTACCATCTTGCATCCATACAACATGACCGGCCCATCATAACTGTGCCCTCATGAGGAAGCTCTTAATTCTGTCAATGTTACACATCGTTAGAAGGTCGGCATTGGATTTTTTGTCCGATTGCTCGGAGACATCTTTTGTGAAAGACATCTAATTGCTGAATGCTTACGATACAGGGTCCAGGCCTCTGATCCATACAAAAGAGTAGTGAGGACAACTGCTTTGTACACGTGGATTTTTGTCGCAAGACGAATACCCCTGTCATTCCAAAGACGGTGACGTAGTTTTCCAAACGCGTTAGCTGTTTTTGCAATTCTATTTACAATTTCATCATCCAGAGTTCCACTTGCATTCACTTTACTGCCTAGGTAGTTAAAATTCTTCACATACTTGGTCATTTTTGTCAAAAATCGGTATATCAGGGAACCTGTGAGCAGGAGGGTTTTGTTTCACACCTCACACTTGCTTGGGTGTAGGTGCAGGCTGGTGAACAACTTCTGTTTTTGAGATGCTGATGGTAAGACCGAATGCTTTGCAAGCAGCAGAGAGCTTGTCCATCAGTCGTTGAGCTTCTTCAAAAGAAGTTGCTACCAGCGCAGCATCATCTGCAAACAGAAGATCATGGATTATGCTGATCCGTGCCATCTGCAAACAGAAGATCATGGATTATGCTGATCCGTGCCAGAGTTTTGGCTTTGAATCTCTGATGATTGAAAAGGCCCCCACTTGTTCTAAACTGAAGTTTAACGCCGTCTTCCACTCCTGCAAATGCATGTTTCAGCATGACAGAAAAGTAGAGGGCAAAAAGAACAGGGGCCATAACACAACCTTGCTTTGTGCCATTCGTCACAGAAAAGGAATCTGATGTTTCACCATTTGACACCACCTCAGCCTTCATCCCATCATGGAAAGAGATGATGACCTTTAACATTTTCGGGTATTCCCAATTTCCTCAAAACCTTCCACAGGGCAGAACAGTTCACTGTGTCAAACGCCTTTGTGAGGTCAACAAACACCATATACAACTCTTGATTCTTCTCACGAACTTTCTCAGCAACCTATATATATATATATATATATATATATATATATACACACACACACACACACACACACACACACACACACACACACACACACACATCCCACATGGAGAATAATATATCGCATATGTCTACACAGCAAAGCAGAGTGTATGGAGAAACAAAAAGGAAGCGTCTTACATATAATATGGAGATACTCCTGTGTCTGGAGAAGCCATGTTTAGGACTCCAGATTCAAACAGGCTGGATTCATCTATGTCCTAGGCAAGGACAGTCTACAGATGGAAAGCAGCAAGTCTTGGTTTTTTCCAAATTGAGGAATGCGAGCTGGAGTTTCTTTCTATATCTGGTAAAATCCAAAAGGAAATGCCACAATCAACTTGTAAGCTGCTGGGGAGGCAGATTTAGGCTCTGCTTTGGTCAAAGAAAGCAATATTTCATTTTGGCTGCTGTGAAATGAATTGAATTTGACTGCCACTTTTAGTGATGGAGCGACATCACTAAGCATCTGTCACGTGACCCATGTGACTTATCTCCACAAAAGGGAGATAAGCACCTTCTATATCCCTACAAGGGAAAACTTCTTGAGATTACAAATGCTTTTGGTGTATCAGGCATTTAAATGACAATTCTAGGAGTAAATGTGCTAACAAAGAAATTTTATTAATGTTATGGATTTAAACAATCAGTGAAAACCATTTCTATCTGCCATCAGCATGGTTGATGCTAAACCCCAGGAGAGCAATACTCTATACTTTGGCTTCATGTTTTCCACTGGCATGAAGTAGAGTGACTATACCAAATCATTTGCTATGTTTACTGCAGGGAAAGTTGGTTCACTGTGTTGTACTAGAAAAGTTGTCAGAATCCATCTTGCACATTTATAAATCTACTGTTGCCATATCTGGTCTGGTGCACCTGCCATAAATTTCAGGAAAAATCCAAAGAAGGGTCTGTAATATAATTGATCCTGAATGGGCATCTCAACTTCAGTCACTTTCTTCCTGCTGTCTTTTGTACAAATATTTTCATGGTAACTGTTCTGAGGATTCCTTCTCCTGGTGAAATTATGTAGATATTAGGATTAATACAAATAAAATTTGTCAATTAGCTGATGTTATATTCAGCACCTTGACTCCACAGTGAACCTTTTTGTAATCATTTGGTCCACTTATCAGGAGGTTCCAGATTAATACCATAGTACTTACCTACCTATGTAAAGTGTGCATAATACTCCAACTGAGGGAAAAATAATATTAAACTTCTTCCATTTTAACATGATAAAAAGTGTGTATTAAGTCTCAAGGTATGATCCTTTTTTTTTTTTTAATTTTTTTTTATTTCATCTGCTTTTTTTTCCTCACCCTTTCCAGCTTGTTTTTAAAGGCTTAACATTCTAAAAGTCATAACAAAGTTATGCTAATCATTTCCACATGTCAAAATAAGGAATGAAGATAGAAATCACGTTTGACAAGTCCTTTCTCTCTTATTCATCAAGTTTGTTGTTTAATGATGACATTTATAATGATGTAACAATTTATTCCAACAAAGAGAAATGTCACTTTAATGCTTTTTGATTAAAGTTTCAACATTTTAATCATTCCAAATGAGTCACCCATAGAATGTTTGCAAAGCAGTAGCACCAAGTTCAAGTGTAATTAGTGTCATCTCTGACAGAACAGACTGTAGATCAATGTTTCTGAACCATTTTTTCAACCAGTGCCCATCTGTCCAATTTAATATTTTACTGAATTCATCTTTCATAGCAAGATGACACTTAGGTATTAGTACAAAAATAATTTTAATGTAGTATTCATTTCTATTATAAATTCCAATGATTAAAATGCTTAAAAAAAAAAAAAAAAAAAAAAAAAAAACATTTGATAGCTTATCTCAGTGTTTTCAATGCAATGGTTGACTTACTGATTAAGGCCCTTACTCTAGGGTCCCATGTTGCTTAGAAGTAATTGTGGATCTTATTTTGTAATTTGCAGGTAGTTTCTTCGTTTAGTAAGAAGCTGTGTAATTGCATTAAAATCACATGCAGCCATATTGGAAGTTGGAAAAGCAATGAAGAAAAGTTTGATAGTTTCCCCACGGCTTTAGATACCTTTCAAAAATTTCTTTTTGTATCCAATATTGATTAATTTAACCCCCAAAAAAAACAAAAACAAATACCCACTGAGTATGTTCACCTTCAAAATGAAATAAAAACTCCCAGTACCGCTTTTCAACATAACAAAACACAAAGGGTGCTGGCACCCATGTTGGGAAACACTGCTATAGATCAATGGTTAAATGTGTACGCATCTCACAAACTATTGCTAGTAAGTTTGGATGGCCTACATATAACATTGTGTAACAAAAATCTGCTGAAGCTAGACAAAGAATTATTGATGAGGACTACAAATATTTGATCTTCATTCTTTAACTGTTGTCTTTTCTGGTGGCATTACGTACAAATCCTGGATCCACAGACTTTACTGCTAATATAGTATATGACAATGATAGAGTTGAATGAAGATTTTGTTAGCCTTTATAACATTAGAATTTAATTAGGTTTATACTTTCTAATGTTGTACCATTTTATTTATTTTTTTTAAGTTTAAGGACAATCTATATTAATGAGATTATTAAGAACTGGTTTGATAGAGTAATCATGTTTGGCTTCCAGAGTAACACTAACTACCAGTGTTCTTTTTTGCTCTAAGTTTATATTATAATTGTTTCATAATGAAGATGGCCCATACAAATATAAATTTTCTAATATTGTTTAATCAATACATCTTCCCTTAGAAATTAGTGATGGCTACAAAGATGAACCCATACCTTCCTGGATTCACTGCCACCTTATTTTTTTTCCACCCTATATTGTAAACCATTTTGATTATAGTTCTTATTTTCTCGATTTCAGATGAAAACATGGATATTTAACATATTTCATTGAAATTTCTCTTTCTAAAATTATAGCATAAAATTATATCTTGAAGAAAAGGTAGTATCAGTTTTAATAGATAGCAAGAGGACATGGGCTTATTTGAATTAAAACGAGCATCTATCTACATATAAAATTCTTTGACTTCCATTAGTCCATTTGTCTGTCACACCCTCTAAAAGAGCCATAAATTGACTGATTAAAAAATATTTTGGAGAGAAGTGCACACAGGTAAGGGTGTAAAAAGTACAGTTGGTTTTACTAGGGTGTATAGCTTAGTACAATAAGTTTTCTTTAATGTTTTTTGAAAAGTTAAAAGTTTTATTATTTAACATACAAAATACTTGCATTATTTTAAAAACAATTTAATGATTAAAATAAATACTTATTTAATAAAAATGCAATATTGTTTTTTTTTTTTTGCATATCTTATGTTTTAATATACAAGAATCCAGTTTCCAGTTTGCCCTGCATTTAAGAATTATAAACAAATCACATGGCTAAACACTTCAAAAAGGTTGGAATTTGGCTCCAGAAAAAAAAAAAAAAAAAAAAAAAAAAAAAAAATTACACATGGCCAGTTGTATGTTGCATGCTCAAGAGTAAGAATCCTAAAAATTTATTTTTCACTGTTAAAAAGGAAAAAAAAAAATTTCCTTACAAATATTGATTACCATGAAGTCCTATAAAATTAAAGTAAAGAAATTATTAAACAGCAAAGAAAGGTTTTTGTCAAAGTATATTTCCAGACAAATCAGCTTATTCAAATTTCATTGATTGGTTTGTCAAATTGAATGAAACAGAGGTTGTAAATCTTGACAAAAAAAAAAAATGTTAGTGATAACTTCAACAATACTACATACTGTGAGGAGTTCAACACATGTCAGTGTGTTGTAAAAAAATTCTAGTATATTTAAATTTGGCAGTGATACTCAGCTTTACCTTTACAAAGAAAAAGAGAAATCTTAATCAAAAGAATTTATTTTTACAGTTTAACCATTTTGTGAGTTATTTTTAAAGCTGAAACATATTTCAGATTGTAGGAAGTTACTTACACTACTTCCATGTTTCCATGCGGTCACTCATCTAAATACTGACTGGGCTTGACATTGAATGAAGGTTACCAGCATGATTGGATCATAGGCATATTAATTTTTAAAAAGGTGAATTTTATTTTATACAATCCATTTAAGAAAACTTGTTTGATGATATAAAATGCATGAGTATACAATGCATGTATTCATTAAATAATAAAAAATATTCATTCCAAGATCAAAACTAAACACTGGCTTACAGCAAGAAATGTAGAGCAATTTAAAAAAAATTTTTTTTTTTTTAATATAAATCCTATAAGTTATCAAATACTGAATAAAAAAGACAAAGCAACATAAAAATAAAATGAATATAAAAAATAATGAGTTGTTCTTTGGACTATCATTTTAACAAATGCAGAAGGGAAAAAGAAATTATTGCATATTGATTCCTATATAATCATCTAGTGCTAAACAATTAACAAAAATATTCTCAACTATTTATCCAGTGTCTGATAGAGAAAAGAGATCACAAGCTATTAAAACATTCAGATGTGTCTGTGGGCACACCAACACATTCAGATGCATCGGCAAGTGCACCAACATGCTCAGATGCATCAGCAGGCACACCAACATGCTCAGATATGCTGGTAAGTGCATCAAAATCTCAATTTGGATTTTCTTTTTCAACAGAGAGTACAAAGAACAAATTTTTTCCCTCGGGGAAAAACTTGGTTTTCTTTTTCATCATCACAGTCATACTGACATGCAGCAATACAATATTATTCACATGATTAAGAAAAAGAATATTTTGTGAATCAAATTTTGATGCTTACACCAGCATTTTTGAGCATTTCACCAAATTTCTCCAGCTGAGCCTTGACTTGTTTTTCTTCTTCTTTCATCATATCAACCAGAACAGTGACATCTGCCATCACGTAGGCTAAAGAAGAAAAATAGATTAAATAAAGCACATTTCATGAATTTGTGACATGGAGGGATGGAGGTGTAGAAGTTAATTTTCCTTTTTAATAATCAAAACTTTTCTTGCATAATATTTATTTAAAAAAAAAAAAAAAAAAAAATCATCAAAAGCACAATGATCACAGATTTGACCTTCATAGTTGCAATTATTGACATATTAGATGAGAAAAAAAAATTAACTTATATAATGTAACTTGGCGGAGAATATATATATATATATATATATGATTAATGTACATTTGGGGAGCAACCTTTTATTAAATACTAGCAGCATTGCCCGTGCTTGATTCAAAAATCATACAACTCGTACAGCAATTGCTATCACTTGACTTAAAATATTTTTGCCCTTCTTTGCCTTTAAAGGAGTGCCCTTTGCCGTGCTGATGTTGGTACATGCCTTACTTCTTGCCTATCTCACACTGCGAATTTTTTCTAAGCTCTACACTAAACATTAAATCTGTTACAAAAAAAAAAAAAAAAAAAAAAAACTAAACAAAATGAACACAAAATGATCAGCTTTAAAAAAGGACTCGTAACTGGTAAAACCGAATGAAAAAAGAATGTTAACATCAAATACTTTTTCACACCCAACCCAGTTCTGTGGAATCAGAATCAACGTTGAGTTTAAGCAAGCGAATGAGTCAATTGGAGTAAAGTGCCATGCAGATTTAAATTTTTCCCCCATTTGTGACGAATGCAGCTATTGATTTTCATTTTACATGCTAGCATGCTAGTTAACATTTGTGTCAGTCAGCTATTAGCTCTCACTCTGGCCAGTACAAAATAGCTGCAAACTACATGAAAACTGCTGTAGAAGCATGAAAAAAAAAAAAAAAAAAAAAAAAAATCGATTATTTCCACTATCGATAGGAGTTGGGAAATTCAAAGTTGATCTTGGCCTTCCCGCTAACTTGGAGCATGTAAATGTTGGTGCAAATCCGTCGAAAATTGCGGCCATGCATTCGTGACACACACACACATCCTGCTTTTATAGATAGAGATAACAGACAAGGGAAATTGTTAAGTTTTTTTTTTTTTACTTCGTTTTTCCAGAGTTCTTACATTTTCCATTTGGTGAGAGTGAGGGAGTACAAAATCAGCTGCCTTTAATGAAATGATATATATATATATATATATATATATATATATATATATATATATATATATATATATTTTTAAAAAAATATGATTCCAAATCGCTACATAAGAGGTCTCATGTTTCAAAATGTTTCAGTTTATTTACTAATGTCCCAGAGAAATGATTTGATATAATTATAAAGAATATTTGCAACAATCTATTTCTCCCTCCATTAAAGAAAAAAAAAAAAAAAAAAAAATCTAAGATATGAAGACAATATTCTCATCTTAGTTGAAAATATAGATGAAATACATGAAGTATAAAAAAACAAAAAACTGAAACAAAACCTGGTTCTTAAGTTCACATATGAACTTCATAACAGAATTCCTCTTCTTGATATATTGATAGGCACCAATAATAATACATGTTACCTCCTATATAAAAAAACTACCTAGCATAAACGTGTGCACTCAACTATAAAAGTGAATATCTTGACTATTACAAAACAGCAATTATACAAAATTTAATAAATCATGCAAAAGTTAACTTCCATGAAAACAGTTTTCTACACAGAATCAAAAAACAAACTCTTAATAATGACTTTCCTAATTACATTGTTGATGAACAAATTAGATGAGCTATTAGAAATATTTAAAAACTTAACATTCTTGTCTATATTCACATTTTAGGAAAATATTAACCGATACTACAAGTATACTCCACAATGAAAACAAAAAACAAATCAAATTCTCAAAGCACTCTATAAAAAAAAAAAGTGAAAAATTGTAAAAAATTTTTTTTGTTAAAATTGCAGGTTGAATATTATTAATAAAAATTAAATTAAGTTACCTCCCTTACATATACTTAATGTAAATTGGCTATAAACATAGCAAGTTTCATTTCATGCACACTTACAAAAAATAATTTGAAACTATCAATTTCATTAGCTTTGGTCTTAACAATTCACCTCTGAAGATGATCTTGGATGAGATTAAAAGTACTTGGGGGAAAATAAAAGAAATAACCAAAACTATGGCATCTTTCTTAATCAGTTTTGTAACAGCACTAAGAAATTGAGCCATTTTATATATATATATATATATATATATATATATATATATATATATATATATATATATATATATATATAAGTACATACTTTTGGCCAAAGGTTTATGGTGATTTTTTTAAACAGTTTAGATGTGGCACAAAGCTGAAAGTATGGGGCACCCAGTGAGGATCAAACTCATTACTCTGTCTATTCTAGCAAGAGAAGTTTGCTAACCATTATACCATGTTGAGGTGCCCAAAGACTGGTGGGTATTAATGGATATAGAATATTCCCAAGGGTGAAAAAAAATTGTAAGAACAATCTACCCCACCATTTGGTTTGGTTCCAACCTCTAAGAATGTTACCAAGCACAAAGATAGATACCTTAAGAAGGCTGGTGAGTACAACAACCAAAATGCTGGTCTGAACAGCAAAGACGAGAATAATGAGAATTCCTCATCTAAAAAATGTCAACCAATTGTAAGAAATTGGTCTGAAATTAAGAAAATATTTAATTTAGAAATTAGTCTATCATTCCCCCTTCACACCATTAGGTTTCATATTGTATAATATAACATGGGATTGATAGTGGAGTGGCTTCCCATGCTAAGGATATCATGGAGCAACTGTGTGAGCAGCGATGAGGTCTTGGAATGGATGCAAACAAGGAGGAAGCTTATACTTAACATAAGGAAGAGGCAGATGAAATTTCTGGGACACGTAATGAAAAAGTAGGGCCTGGAGAATCTGATACTCACAGGTTGAATAGAGGGTAAAAGAGACAAGGGAAAGCAACACATGACATACCTAGTGGATGGCAGAATGTGGTCTGGGGGGAGTTGGCAGAGGCACAAAACTTATTGAGAGTCACAAGGGATAGAGAGAAGTGGAGAGCCATGATCACCTATGTCCTGAAAGGACATGGCACATAAAAAGAAGTGTACTAAAAACAAAAAGAGAAAATCTGATAAGGAAAACTGTAGTTATGTGTATGACTGAATTTGAATTTTTGCCTGATGATAGGTTTCCATGGCCAAAGCTGTATAAATCATCTATATTAAATGGGCTTCTAAATTTACGAAATGAGAATTTACATAAGAGAATTAAAAAAAAAAAAATGTAAACAAAAAATATACTTACGAGATTGAACTACAGAGTGATATTCTGGACAGTAAACTAATACCAAATAGTCATGAGTTCTGTGAATTTGTTCCATATACCCTAAAAGAAAGAAAAAGTGATTAACAATTTTGTGTATAAAATTCTGTTTATTACTTCTATAAAAAAAAAATATATGTTTGAGAGAAGATGGAGCATTTCATTGTATTGCATGATGTAACAATTTGCAGAGTAATTGGTCATGGTTAAATATAATTGGAAGAAATGCTCAAACAGAATTGACAAAGTTTGCAATAAACAATAACAAAAGAAGGAAAAAGAACAGGGCAAAAATAATATTAAGCAAACAATATATGCAAGAAAGAAGTAAGCAAAGCAACAGTAATAAAGCAAAAAGTTTACAAACTAAGAACGGTGTTAACAGACAAAATGGGATACAGACAATCAATCACAGTGTTCTGGCTTCAAAACAAGAAAGAACAGAATTAAGTTGGATGATACTGAGAAGTGGCCTATCTTATTATCTAGGAAGAAATCCCAGCATGCATCTGTATATTTTGAATTTGAGGCAGGGAATGTTTTTGCAGTCATTTCTAAAATGATTGCAACCAACAATTCCATATAAGAATTTAGTTCTGACAATTCAGCACCTGATAATTTAGTGCCAGTTTTAAGATTTATAAATTGAAATAGAAAAGAAAGTGGTTGACATTAATATTTTCAACACACATAGCCATATGTATTGAGATATTTAACATGACTGTGTGACAAGTTGTGAAAGAGAGGATTGTGTTGCTCCAATCTCCTAAATGAGAAACTAGATATACATGAATACACATACATTTTTTTTTTAAGCATTTCACCCAAGCAAGGTGGAAGTGCCACTATGCAATGCAAGGAGGAGGAGGCACCTGTGCTCGAGGAACCTACCAGAGAAGGCAGTCTTGCTGTTGGACAACTGCAGCACTCACCCAGCAGCCAGCATCCTGAGAACTCCAGATGGGCAGTGAAAGAGGGGTGTTTGAGGAAAGGATAAAGAGAAGGATGGGGATCAAGATCAAGGGATTAGAAGATATCAGTTGACATTACATTGAAATTTTTTGAAGATTATAGTTATCAGGGAAACAAAAGGAAGAGAGTTCTACTGTTGGGAAGTGTGAGAGAAGAAGCTGTTGGAGTAGAAGAGGTGGTTACATTTAACTGTTTCAACAGTAAAAGAGTGGGACCGAGATGCCAACCTACTAGCACACTTAAATTCATGCAGTTGGGGCACCAGTGAAAATAGCTGTTCAGAACAGTTGCCATGAAAATATTTGTAGAAAAAAGACAAATATAAGCAGTGTGGACATAGGTATCAACATTGAATAGTGATAGGGTTTCATGCTTAAACATAATCCTAAGGTCATCAGTCTTGATATCTGTCTACATCAGATTATATTTGCATACACTGTGCTTGATATTGAGCACATCTTAAATATATCCTAAAGTATTAATGGATTTTAATTTTTAACCTGGCATTTCTATCACTTTTAACATTATTTTTTAGTGGATATCTGTATTTGAGTAGATCCTTCATTTATTTTAAACAGTGTTATATTTTTTCTATTGACCTACACATTCAAGAAGACTTATTAAAGAAAAAAATACCCTCTGTATGCCTTTCTTGAATGTGGAGGAGACTAAACTCACCAGCCTTGGTTGGCAACCAGTCTAGGACAAATGAATGTAAAATCACAAAGGCAATAGGAAATCTCTTTTCCCAAGAACAATCATAACAATGCACAGTTTATTGATATTTAAAAAGGCAGCTGTGGAGAGCCATGATTGTTTTTTTCTGTAAAGAGGTAGCATTTAGAGAGAATTAAATATTTAGTGGATGTAAGAAAAATGAAAAATTATAACAATGCGAATGACAGTAAAAAAAGTTTTCTACATTAGACAAACTACATGAGTGATCAATTTCATTCACATTTTATATGAAAGCAGAAAATATATCCAATTAGGCTCCAAGTGCAGGAGCTGATCAGCCGATTGTATTTAGTAGGGAGATTTGTATTGCAGCTCATACAAGTTTATTGATTTTCTGTGGAATGCTTCCCTGCTGAAATAGGCAATCAATAAATATTGGCACAGGGCATGTTATGACACTTAGAGGGAATCTTCCACCATAAAACTGCAATGCTTTAGTATTAAAAAATTTGGAAGAATGAATAGAGAATAAAAAAAAAAAAAAAAAAAAAAAAAAAAAAAAGAATAAATGAAGAAAAGAGGAAGAAGATACAAGAAACAGATAAAAAAAATCATTAACAATAAGAAACAAACTTATAAAATTAAAGTGATTCAATATTCATTTTAGGAGAATTTATATTTCAAATGCTGCTATTACAGTAGTCCACCACGGGTAGTGGGGGACCCCAAGATTTTGCTCTTGTACCCTCAATATTGTTCACATTTTAGAAATTCCACCCTATTTTACCAATTTTTGGGCCATCTTCTTCATGATAGGACCCATCTGATGATTGTTCTGTGTTTTAATAATTACACCCCTTTTTCACAAATTTAATCTTGATTTTGATGATCAAACAGCCCAAATCTACAATGCAGATGAGACGAGCATCTTCTACAAGATGCTCCCTGTCTATAAAATCCACAAGATCAAAGGCTTCAAGCAGGTGAAGAACCGCATCACCATGCTGTTCACCTGCAATGCTACTAGGACCCACAAGGTGAAGGCCTTGGCAATGGGGAAATTCTGGTCCCCTAGGTGGCTCCACCACATGAATATAGCCACCCTCCTGGTGCTGTATTCCAACTCTGTGAGTAGCTGGATGATTGCAGAGATCTTCAAGGGCTTTGTCCCCAGTGTGAGGAGGCACCTGTGCTTGAGGAACCTTACCAGAGAAGGCAGTCTTGCTGTTGGACAACTGCAGCACCCACCCAGCAGCCAGCACCCCGAGAACACCAGATGGGCCGTATCTGCCCCAAAACACCACCTCGAAGATTCAGCCCTGTGATGCCAGCATTATCAAGCCCTTCAAGGCCTTGTACAAGAAGGAACTGGTAATGGAGATGCTGGACCTGCCAGGCACCATCACAGACTACCTGAAGTAGCTGACCCTGAAGGACTCCTTCCAGACAGCCAAGGCCTGGGAGGCAGTCTCTGAGGCTACAGTGAGGAACTGTTGGAGGAAGGCCTTGGGTGGAGCCTGCGATGAGGAGGATGCTGAGGAAGAGGTGGTGTCATATGATGGCTTCACTGATGCAGTGATCCAGACAGCCCAGAAGCAGCTAGAGGAACATCTGGATGCAGACTTCACTCCCCTGGACTTGGTCGACATGTGGTCCCAGGTAGAGGATGGGGATGACACCCCTGTGACAGAGACTGACCAACCAGGAGATCCTAGATGCGGTGAAGAATGAGGCCGAGGAAGTGGAGAAGGAAGAAGCAGTACCACCAGCAACAGCCAAGAGTCACACTCATGCAATAGACCACCTCCACTAGCTCATTGAGTATGTGGAAGGGCAGGACAAGGAACACATCACCCTACACCTGAGAAACCTCAGGAGGACCCAGCTGAGAGCTAGGAAGGGCAGGGTGTGGAAGAAGCTCACTGATTTTTTTATTAAACAGAGTTGGACATTGATCATTTTATTAATATGAATCTATTCTTTTTATTTATTTATATAACTATTGTGCTTATTGTCCGATTTTATATTTATAGCAAACGTGACATTTGTGGAAATAAATTTAATTTCGTAGATTTCACGCTTTCCGTGTTTGTCTTTTCTTTTTATAATACTGGACTACTTTTTCAAACTAGACCATAATGCCCTACTCTAAAGTAGGGCATTATGGTCTAGTTTGAAAAGAGTTAAAATTTATTGTATAAAAATCTGCTGTAAAACACTGAAATAAGTTGAAATTTTGGGTAATTTGCTTTTTAAGCCCTGTGCTAATTATCTAATAAAAAAAAAAAAAAACAATTCCCTGAATAGTTATATTTATGTGTAAATTTACATGCTTAATTCTAAAATAAAGAAAATTTTGAAAAAAAAATCTACCTTTTAGGAGTTATTGACAATAAAAGTTGTTTGAACTCGTTTGCATTGCAGCAGTCATTGTCATGAAGGAGTCCTAACTTTTATTGTCGATAACTCCAAAACAGATTTTATAGAAATTTCTTTGTTATTTTCAAATTAGTTATGTAAATTTAGAAAAGAAAAATAACTGTTCAAGGAAATTTTTATTAGATACTTAGCGTGGTGTTTAAAAAGCAAATTATCCAAAATTTCTTATGGAATCATTGGCATAAATTAGTATAATTTTTTTAGGTTCTTTCCATGCTATTATCTAGGCTATATATTGTAAAATAGGGCAAATTGGGCCTAAAAATCAGGTAGGTGTGCAACCTCCTACTATTCCTCCCCCACCACACACACACACATACATAGCTACCTTGATTCACTTGCAGCACGGGTCGACCATCTTGGACCCCAAAGCCTGTGCTATAGCAGTGGACTATTGTATTATGAACAATAAAAAGATGCCAATACAAGGATTCTTTAACATTAATATATACAATCATTTTTTTTATTTTATTTTGCTCATTCATAGAAGTCATCCTTTAGCTTTTATAGTTTCAGGTTACATTCTGTTCATGTCTCTTAAGAATGAATAATAAAGCAATTCCAGTTATAATTGGAATCATATTCCCTAAGCAGATTAATTTTTCTAAAAATCTGATTTATTCCAAGTAACAATTTTTTCTACTGGTATAAAAAGCACCATCAATTATGTGGGTATGATACAGTCTTATCAGTTTTTAGCTAAAATAATACCCAACACTGTGTGGGAAAAGCATTTTTTGTTTCATTTTGTTTGTTAGTTCTTTCATACACAGAAAGTTATATTTTTCAAAATATACTACTAAAAAATGCCAATACTGCTTGCTTCTTATGCTTACCACTTACAGGGCAGAAAATTACTTAAATTTATTTGATATTAAAAAAAAAAAAAAAAAAAAAAAAAAAAAAAAAAAAGGAAAAGCAACAACACAAAATATTTGCTTATTCATAAAAATTGCAAAAACTAGATTGGAATAAAGTTATTTTCTAAACTGAATATGCAAATGAACTATCTCTATTAAGCAAGAACTGCTAAGCTGGGCAAAATATAAGGCATATACCATATTGGGCAAGATATAAGACAGATATCAATGACAAAATGGTATTTAGTGTCAGTTTTTACATCATATTTTTGTATACATTTTTAATGCCAGGCTGTCTTGCACAAGAAACATGACTTCTACTGCAGCTGCAATAAACGTCATGACCCTGATGGGATTTGCATGCATATATATCGATATATATATATATATATATATATATTCATTCATTGTATATTTGGTCAGCAATCCCTCATTTATAAAAGTTTCATTAAAAACAACTAACAAGGTACTGTGGTTAAGTTTTTTTTTTTAATTTTTCTTGTGTTCACATAATTTTCTTTTCTAGGCATAAATTATATAGAAATTGTCCAAATGTTTTGTATGTTTGAGCACTTTCAACTATACTTCAGCCATTATCAAGGATGATTTTATTTTTTACTTTTAACTGAATGTATGGATTGTTTTATGTATGTATCTAGAATTATAGGACTGCTTTATTTTCCAAACATGGTCAGTACATTGAAGAAAATTATAAGTACACAACAAAAATTAAATAAAAAACTCAATCATAGTATCTTGTCAGGTGTTTTTAATGAAACCTGTGTGTGTGTATGTATGATTTCAGAATTTGGAACAGACATGTTTAATACTATCATCAGAGAGGTGCATAAGAACAGGAAGCTAAATCTCTCATACATAAAATTATGGTTTATTCAGCGCCAGACTTTGTTAATGTTGGCGAGTGGGTGTGGGACAGGGGATTTTCTCCAAACATTGATTCTTGTTCTTGTGGAGATGTAAGAGACTCTCCCCACCACCTTGGATGGGTGGGTGCTTATGCATCTTCCTATCATCAGTTGTCCAACATGTGCACATCCTAAGTGCAGCTGTATCAACTGTTTACATGTTTGGGGAGCCACTAATGAAGACTTGAATCTGCACTTGGTGGTTAGGAGATTATCTGCCAATGCACCTGAATTCTCTAATACTGGAATACAAAGTCTATTTTGGTATCATCTGGGAGTGAGCCCAGTACATATTGTGGTCATCACAGAACAAAGGTTGCTTACTGACATTAAATTAGATTTAAACCATTTAGTATTACTTGGTGTGATTAAAGTATTACACATAATTGGATGGACATTCAAAATAGGAAGACATTGACAGCTTTAAAAATTTGTACATTTTAAAGGTTTTCTTCAATAGTTCTGCATGCTAATCAAATTTTTGTGCATTGTTCAGTAATAAAATCCTTTTAAATTCATTAATATTTTTTTTATCCTCACAAAAAAGAGAGAGAGAGAGATAGAGATTTCCAGTGATTCGCCATTTTGCAAGATTTGTTTTATTGACAGCTTTTCATTACATGTTAAAAATTTGCTCCTCAAAAGCAAATAGAGCACAAAAAATTAAGTGCATTAACAAGTCTTAACACAAAATTGTTTAAAGTCATTCTTATAAAGCCAGGAACTGATCTTATTGGATATTTTTGTCAATTTTTTTAATATTTTTTTAACTACAAAAATTATATTAAAATCATTACAATTTTTTGATTTAAAATTTTTTGTAAAAATTTCTATCACAAGATTCCAACTCTTCACCAATTTCAGTAATTTAACAAGAGAAGAAATTTTCTTCAACTTAAAAATTTTTGACTTAAAACTTGAGTGTAAAGGACAATGGTGGTGAGGGTAGGGAGTACAAAGTTTATTTGACTTAAAGTATTTAATGAACAATAATTTCTTTTTATCTATATTCACTCCCCACCAAAGAAAAAAAATCAGGGAATAAAATTATATTTTTCATTATACCTTGATATATGTTCATTTAATGCCAAAATTTAATTTTCTTGAGAGTATTTGTTATATCTTTTACTAAAACGTATTGCTGCTAATATTTCTTTTCCTTACAGAAATGTATTGTGTAATTTTGTACTATAAAATTTTACATACTTTCATAGTGTTTTGATCCCAGTTTGGAGGTTAACTATTTGTACATAGCTGGGACCCTAACAGGTGCTACCACTGCAGGTTAGGAAACAGCTGCAATTAAGAGGTGGTTCCATGCTCCTTAAAACCTCTGAGACGTTACTGCTGGATGTAATTATCATACCCAGGACGGGGTTTTAAATGTAACAATCAAGAGGAGGACAACAGTTCTAATAGTGTAAATAGTTACAATACTTAATTTTAGAAATATAGACAGATGTTAAATTTTATTACTTGTTTCTTTTGTGATTAGATTTAATGTCTCACTGAGCAATATAAATCAATAACAAAACTGGTAATAACTTTGTATAGATCCTATCATTATTGGTTTAATCTTGTTCATGTCTCTTATATTGTGTTCACTGTACCATTTTATTTATTGACTGTAAATTTAGCATGTTCTGGAGATTTATTGGATTCCTGGTTGGTAAAAAAAAAAAAAAAAAAAAAAAAAGAAAAGGTGGTTTATGAAAGAAATTATTGTATACTAAAAAGCTTCTGCGCATACTTGCAAATAGATTGATATTCAGATAAATTGGCACAGAAAAATATGCACATGTATACATGCATGGTATAGTATGGAGATGCATAAAAATGGTTAGAAAGAAATTTTAGAGAAATATTAAGAGAAAAAACAGACAAAACATGTGAGTCAAACAATATTTGCTCAAACAATAGAATTTTTTTTCTTTTAAATAATTCAGTTATGAAACATTTTCTGAAAAGGAGCCAAAAAAGAAAACATTTTCCTCATTTAAATTTACATAATTGCTGAAATTAAAATGTAGATTTGGCTGTTACTGCAAAGAACACATTTTGATGAGAAATAATTTAAATCCTAAGTAATTAAATTTTCTGATGGGTATTTCTTTTTGTTCTTCAAAAATGACTGGCTTATGGCCACATCACATTCAATTACCAGTTCCCCATACAGTCACCAAAGTTAACCAACATTGAACCTAGTCAGTACTTAGATGGGTGACTGGTGGGGATACCATGTGCTGTAAGCTTAATGTGTTAGTGGTGTAAGGGATAATAGCTCAAAATTGTTAATTGGAGAGCCAAGTTCCAATTCCAGTCAAGTTTGTTATATTCACTTGCATGCAAATACCTCTGGGAAAGGCATGAATTCACCTGTTCCCCACTATAGCTATGGGTTAAAAAGAAAATATCTTACAATCT